TCACATTTGTCAACCCATCAGATACAATGAAAACACCTTGAGAATACCATGTGTCATTGATTGCTGTTAAATCTTTTTCAACATCCCTTAGGAATTCATCAAGCAAAACAGTCCTTGCCTTTTCACTTGATGGTGGTTTATAACCAACGGGTGCTTTGCTGATTGCTCTAACCATCTTGAGAAATTGCAGATTCCACAAAACATTGAAAGGAATGCCATTAGCACATAATCCTATCATAATCATTAGGTCCACCATGTTTCATTCCATTTTTCCAAATGATTCTTCAATAGGTTTCTTAGAAAAAAAAAAGATGCAGTCTTGTTACTATATACAAAAATTTTCAAAGCGTGAGAACACACCTACCTTTTCAGCATCTTTAACTTTATACACCAACCTTTGGTACTTCTCCCGGTCTTTTAATATTACACTACACCTTTTAATTCGTGCTTTCCTCCCATTCTCGTGTAAGAACTTGTAAATATTTGCTTGTAATGCTTACATTCCCAAACCTTTGAACCCCCCGCGTTTATGCTATTTGCAGAGTTAATTATGGTGACTTCTTGCATAAGTGGTTTGTCATCCTTCATTTCCCTACTCCGAACTTCATTATTATCCTCTGCAATTGTGTCATCTTCGATAATATCTTCATTCTCAAACAACACATTGTGGTCTGTTGTAGCCTCTGCATTGTTTTGAGCAAAAGTAGACCCCCTTTTACCAAAAGCCATTATTAGAATAATATATTATTTTGTTACTGTTAAGAGAGAATGAAAATTTTGTGTATTGGTGTTACTGTGAAAGAGAAAAAGGAATTGTGCAGTCTATGTTCATCGTGGTTGTATATATAAATATAGGAATTCATATAAATTATGAAATCAATTAAATCTAAGGAAATCAATCTAAAATCAAATAATTGATCCACCGCTATCAATTAAATTAATTATAGGATGTAAGAATAGTTAAATAAATATAAACAAAATCAATTGAAAATTCAACTGTATATTGCCTACATATCTCATAATCATATCACAGAAAGGAAAACGGGATTTCAATTAAACCAATTGGCGACCCATTTGAGTTCCACATGTACCAGTACATGATCCCAATTCACCAGTTTACATTCCCAATTGATGGGTTTTGAGCATTCTAACACTCCTATGGTGTACATGCAACCCTACAAACCTTGGATCTATGTTTTCTCTAATATTCATGCAAATTTGATTTTTCCAAGGTTCTCATCCTAACTAGCATGGCATGGGGTACTTGTAATATAAAACTAGTAGAATGACATACCTTTCTTGTAGCTTGGATTCCTTAAGACCTTGTGAGCCTAGCACCCCAAATGTGATGCCTCAAATGTTTCACACAACACCACAACTCTTGGAATAACTTGAGAGAAGAACACTTTCACTCAAAATCGGCTAGCCCTCCTTGTTCTTGTCTTAGTCGCCGATTTTGCTCCTTATGAGGTTTCTTATATAGTGTGCCACATGTAGCGTTATACCATGTAAACCCTAATGTGCATGGCTTTTCATTTCCCCCATGATCCATGGGTTTTAACATCAACGAAGCATCCATGGAGCACCCAATGGGTCCTAGCCCAATCTAGTGAATCATGGACCATAAGCCCACTATATAAGAATGAGTGATTTACAGATCAAACCCATATATTTAATTAGTCTCTTTTTTATCACAAAATTAATTCCAAATTAATTATTGATCAATACTAATTAAATAATATGATTTCATATTAATATATTAGAACTTATAATATATTAACAAACCATAAGTGTCCTTTTCTCATTTTGTCTATCCAATTGTTATGATGTCATGCAACCCAAATGGACCATGCCAAATCGGGTCAAGTACATACTAAATATAGTTATGGACTTAGACACCTTATCTAACAGTCTCCCACTTGGATAAGTCTAATAACTATAGGTATGACTTCAAGAACCGAGCAGCAATCGTAGCTCTTTCAAAGTCTCGCGGAACTAAGATGATGCGCCATTTAAGATAAGTGATCATATAATCCTCTGTTCTAGATATCAGTCGGACAAAAACATGGAGCAATGTCGTAGTTATTGTCCTGCAGTTTGTTTCCCGATTTCCGATTAGTTTGACATAGAACTAAACTGAACACATCAATTTCGTTCTGACCGGGCCCGATACATAGGTCAAAACAAAATCATCGAGGGGCCCAAATATCGCTTCTAATCCTCCAAGGACTAGAAGGAACAGATAAACTTCGACTCATATGCTTGTACTAACTACTTGTTGAATCATACACAAAAGCACGTTTTATAAGATCGAGTTACCGATGCTTTTTCGTACAATCAATGCACAGCCAACTCACAATCAACAACTCATATCTCTAGGTTTGAAGACTTATATGATATTACTGTCTCACGATCACTCGAGATAAATTCCATGAAGTGATACAAGTGAGCGTGGGTTGAATCCAATACTCAGAACTTATGAGCATTCATGAGTGTTGTAGCAACTTTTTCTATGTCTAACATCTTAGACATCTACAAGCCCAATTCATGACAGTCTTGATTTCATACCTACTTCCAAAATATGATTGACTGTTGAGAGTTTGAATAATCCAGTTATTCGGGAAGTCAAAACATGCAAAGTGAAACACAAGAATAATACTAATCCTATATGGCCCTATGCACATTTGAGAGTAAATAAAACACCTTTTATTTAAACACCATGTTGATTACACATTATTTATTGTATAATGTTTCGATTTATCAACCTAATACTTGAATTAAAACAATAGTCATGCCATGCTCCAAGCATGTACACGATGTTTGTCCAAACAATAGTTATGCCATACTCCAAGTATGCATACTATGTTTGTCTATGATCCTTACTTTGTGAAATAGACCAACTGAACATGATTCCAATGATGCTCATTTCACAATACCAAATCCTTATCGTAAATGTAAGAATTCCAAATTCCTGCCATTTACAGAAATATGTTAGATTCTAAACTTATATGCATTGATCCTCTTGTAATGACTATGCACAAAGTCACAAAAACTTGTCAACATACATTACAGAGTATTCCGATGGAGATCAATTCCATGGAAACGAAGTCTCAAATTCAAAGTACATTCCTTTGAAAATCCTTCCTGCTTTAAGTTTTTTTCTAATCTTATACAGATTTTATGAATAACTTCCACATATGGAAACATTTCCATATTCCATTTTAACTATCACTTCTGAACTAGAGTTGCCTCCTTTCAGAATATGTCAATATGGTCCTTTCAAAATTAACACTATATTTCCAACTGTCCATGAGCAACCAATCTTTGGTAAACTTCAGATTGTCCTTGACAATTGCTTAATCATTTTAGCCATATCCAGTTCTAGTACTTTTTCCCTCTTAATGCCCTAGGCATTTGGAAAATTTAGAAAGGATAAATATTATAGCACATGTAATCGATCCTATACCCGAAGCATATAGGACACAATTCATGATGTCGCACATAAAGACATGATCCTAGACCAGCCTTTTGCTACAATATTTTTTTATTTTATTTGCCATGTTTTCATAATTCGACTATGAAGAGGGATGTCGTAATCATAATCGAATTTGAGAACGCAATATATATAGAATTTCCTTATATTGAACCATTCCAACATAAAATTCATATATATATCCTTGACTAAAGATGATTAAAATCTCAATATATATCCTTGATTAAAATCTCAATCTAAGCTTTTAGAATTGAAATGAAGTATAATTTCCTCTTCCTTAATTATAGCAAAACAACTTTTCCCCAATTGAAACCTTTTGTTTTCTATAATTAACATCGCTAACTTACAACACTTATCATAATTGATTATGCTCCCAATAGCATAATAATTAATTTTTAGCATAACACTTATGCTCCCACTAGCTTTGACATGTATCCAGAAATCAGCTGGACTTCTAGAAATCAATACTTTATTGACTTTCTTACCAAAGTTCAGATTTCTGATACGAGATTCTTTGATAAGACTTTATCAAAATCATACACCTTTCCTTAGATAGCTCACATGTGTGTCTAAACAATTTTTAGAACTATGAAAAGGGATGCCGTAATCATAGTCTCAATTGTTTAGACCTTTGCAATTTCTCACAAGTCTATGTTAGTGTGCCGGTTAACCACACACTCTCCACTAACGACTTTGAGAATGCAAATATCACAATTGCTATCTACTTAAAATCTACTTAGTGAAAGCGTTTCCTCACCATCATTTTCATGAATCGAAGGGAAAACCTTATGACACTTAGATTTCTATGGTGTATGTGTTCCTATCCATGTAAATTTGTCAAAACCACACTACTAGAAAAACAACCTTTTACGACGCGCAATGCGTGTCGTAAAACTCTCAGACGACACGCAAATGCGTGTCAAGAAAGGCCCTGTCATAACGAGAGACGACATGCTTTTGAGCGTCGTCTATTTACGACGCGCATTTACGACTCGCATTTATGACACGCATTTACGACGCACAGTTATGACACGCAATGCGTATCAAGGAAGGCCCTGTCATAAAGGAAGAAGACACGCATATGCGTGTTGTAACCTTACGACACGCGTGTTTATGACACGCAATGCGTATCAAAGAAGCCCCTGTCATAAATGTCATAAATGAAGATGACACACATTTGTGTGTCATAAACTTCAGTGACCATTTACGATATGCATTTACGACGCGTCTTTACGATCTCATTTACGCATAATACAAAAATATGTAAACAAATATATACCAAAACAATCAATTTCTTGCAATAACATCATGTCAAAAAATTATAATGCATTGATATTAAGGGGATCTAATTGTACATTGTTATTAAGAGGTTTTCCCTAACTATATAACCCAATACTACATTGCTATTAACAGACACCTTCTGCAATGTAATGCTATACAAACTAAAAAGATATACACAAAGATGATAAACATCAAATTCCAACTAAGTATAGTTGCATCTTGCCTTTCACAATTCTTTAAGACTAATGAGCCCCTGCTCTGATAATTCTTGTGACCTGATCAAATAAAAGTCAAAAAATTAATATGGTAATATAATTATTAGAAGAATCAAACATGGAATGTTCGTTGCAGATAATACCTCAGGTTAATAGACAATCCTTGATCCTATGAACTAGAGAGTATATCATCATAATTCCATCTAACACCACCCATGAGAACCTGTAAAGCTACTCAACCAACATATCATGTCATGTAATGTATTTTTTGTCAGTATATTTTTTGCCACATACTCTCAGTTTCATTCAATACTATCATCTGAATTTCCGACCGATGAGGGTAGCGATTCACTATAGTAGAGTCCACAACCTTCAAACATTAAGATTTCATACAATAATACATCAATGCACATTAATCAAACATTCAAAGTTACACCAATTTAAAGATGGGACTACTTGAATAACAACAAGACCCTGTCAAAGCTTACCTGAGTTTGTTCAGGTATAAGGAGGCTATCCTTTCCTTTATCTACTAAAGAATCTGCCAAAGAGACCTATAAAAAAACTAAACTTACATGACAGAGATTATATATGTTGCCTAATACCAGACCTAATATGCATAAACCAAATGCCAACTTCAAGTAAGTAAATAAAGAAAGCAAACTGGAGGAAGAGAAAACCAGAATTATGTAGATATGGCAGCCAGAAGAAACATAAATCCAACAATAAGTTCCATCATCACTAACCTGAGCATAATAAGTTCAAATTAGTAAAAACAAAAAAAACGGCTTATAATGCAAGTGTTAGAGCTTTAGCTACTATATCGGACCAAGAGGACATGAAATTACATACTAAGTCTCATTTGAATAGAAATAAATGTAAGAACTAGAAATATATACATGAGAATAGTGGAATTGAGACATATAAATTACATGAAGGGAAAGGCGATTGGATTGAAGATTGGCAGGAGATGGGTACTCTATCGGATCTAGTGTCCGCATGAGCACATAAATTCAAGAGCAGTATTTGAAGCTGAGGTTTTTATATTGGCTGGATAACAAAGGATAAAGAACAAAAGGATGAGAAGGTGTGAGTAGCAGTGGAAATCATGGGCTATAACTATGGTTTGGGACCTTGATATTGAATGGTCTTTTAAGGGTTGTTTCTGGAAAGGGGCTTTCGCTCAATGATGAAGAAGGGATTCGATTTCAGAAAGTAGCAAGGAAACTCTTTCACTTATTTGCAGTAACAAGGTTCCTCAATCAATATTACAAAATAAAAAGATTTAACTTGAGTGTAAAATCCTAATGCTTACTCATTAAATAGACCATGAACATCAAGATCATTCTGCCATAGCTTTGGGCCAGTGCTATACCATCCTACCACATGCTCCTTAGCTGCAACAACAAACAAACTTCAATATTTCAAAAACAACTTTACTGCATAAACTAGGAAAAAGATGAATTAAAACCATATCAATAATATATATTTTCTTTGTTATCTTTATCATTTATAATATATATTTTCTTTGTTATCTTTATCATTTATAATATCGATAATTCTTGACAACTTAGTAATAGAAAAGATCATTATTTATCATTTTCCTCTTAGTTGCTGTAACTTTTGGAGCTTCACTTAATGTGTTGTGAATACATGGTACTCTCTAATCATATAACCTAAAATACCCTTTGCATAATGGAAGAAAATGATGGGGGAAGAGCAGGAGCAGGAGAAGGAGCAACAGACAATCCTAGCCCAAATAGGTTGATCATATGTTTGATGATCCTTCCTATTTCACCTACAAAAAAAAACAATTTATAGACCCACATTTCACTTTGTTTCTCATAAAGTGGTAAAATTTTAGAAAAGAAAAAAGATATTGGGAATGGAAATAAGATTTGGACTTCCAACCATTGATCTAAGCCACAAGATTTTACTCTTACCCTCTTTTCCTCCACTATAATTACCACGAACTGCATATAAGTTTGTATGGAAACCTTTCCCTTCAATTTCCAGCTTCTCTATTTTAGGAATCCCTGAAAAAAATCCAAGAAACCTATTTATATATTAATAGAAATTACAAAGTAACAAAAATGACAGATAAGAAGAGAAATAAGGTCAAGTCTAGAAGACAAGACCAGGGGAAACAGGGCAGTTTCAGAATATGCCGGTTCACTCGATCTTCCAAATGTATCTGTTACAATGAATTCACATCTGAAGAAATTACCAATGTTATCAAATCACAGCTTATATGGGCAAGAACATTATGATTGTAATGGCTTAAAGGATTTGTTCTCTTCTGAACAAATGTACCTATCTTTTTTATTTTTTAATACGGTATGATAAAATAAGTATTTAATATTTGAAAAAACGAAACAAAGTAAGTTTTATAATGTAGAAGGATTAAAATCCTTACTAGTAAGCCAAGCATCTCAATTCTTGTAATCTCTTAAATGTAACATAATATTTAACAAATTTGCATTTTAAGAAAAGTATATAAAATAAATCTTGAAAAATACAAAATTAATACCTAAGAGAATTACATCAGTTGGCTCTGACAACTTCAGCTCACCAACAAAACTTCAGCTCATGTACAACCGAATCGCTACGAACAGGTGTATACCTTTAAATATATAGAAAAAAGGTTTTTTTATATAGATGTATATGCATAGATATTATTAGTGAATTAAAATAAAAAAGGTAGAGATATTAATTACCCGAATAATAAAAAAGCAATTGATGGGGGATAGAAGCTAAGCTTGTGTTTGAGTTTGTGTTTTGGTCTCTTTATTGATCACTTCCTATATCAGGATTCAAATTTTCATTGATTCCACCTTTTATGCTGAAAGAAGTAGAATTCTTTTGAGATTTCTTCATATAGTTTCTTCCTTTAGTCCACATGTTTTCAAGATTCTCTGGTTGAAGAACTTCTGTCCTTCTTTGGGCTGCTGCTTCAAGAACACAGGCCCAATTAGAAGTCCGTGTAGGCATGGACTCATCTTGGATGGGCCCACTAACCATGGTGGAAGATGGGTTTACAGTTACAGAAGATTCCTTTTGGATGTTAGGGGTAGATGGTGTTTTCTCTAACTTTTGACTAGAAGAAGACCCACTATTTGACTTTGGACCTTTGTCATTGTTTGTAACAGAAGGTTGATTCTGGGGTTGAATAGTATTGAACTAAAGGGCATTGAGCTTCTTGTGGTCTAAGAACTGCAGCCAAAATTACTCCCATAATCTGCTTAACAAACTACAAGATAAGAACCATTAATGAAAGTATTTGCAAAACATCAATGAAGATTGTGATAATCTTCATCAGAACTCTCATCTTACACCTTATATTCACTCTGGGCAGATATTAAAGATGGATGAAGCTCCTTTGAAGCCATGAGATGGTGTTTCAATCTTTCATCTCTTTCTTTAGAAAACAATTTTAGCATGACCTCCCTCCCAAGAACTCGGTCAGCCCAAGTGCGCAACCCACTCCGGTAAATTTGCTGGAATGCATATCCGACACGCTGCAATACCAAAAATAAAAAATAAAAAAATTATGTAAGCAAAATAACCATATCGAATAATACAAAAAATTAATTTTATTCTTACGTTATATCAAGAGGAAAGATATTAGGAGCCATTCGCATGGCAAGTTTAACCGGTAGAATTGAAACTTCTATGTAAAACCAGATAAACATAAAAGGGAAAAAAAGGAACAGTTTTGTTGTAAACTTAATTTCTATCATTTTTTTTTACATAATGAATCATCTGAAATTGAGAGAGAAACAACAAAGCTAAAACATTCATATTTTTTTATAAAATAAAACATTCATATAAAATGAGTTCATTCTTCTAAATTCTAACCCTTTCTAACATTATAATAGATCAACTCAAGAAGGCCCATCTTTCTCAATCCTAAAAGGTGCCTCTAAATGCCAAATCATTGATAAGGACTTTTCACAAACACTTAGCGTGCAAATTTAAAGGCCACATTCTGAAGCTGACCCATGAAACTAAACATAGACATACACGATTCACTACTACCTCGTGGATTGTTAATGCTTCTGATGTTGAAACAGCTAGTTCCAATGCATCTGTGATGTCAACTTTATGAGATTTGGGGTTTTTCCCATTTTACCCCTTTCAAATTCCAAAATTGCTCCTTTTAAAATTAAAGTTAACCCAGCAGCCATGGCAAGAATCAAACTCAGCAGCAGCATTTTCAAAAGGAAAAAAATTATTTTGATCAACCGCAAACCAAACAAGAAGATTCCAGTATTGCCCTTTGTTTATGACATAACAATGAACCCAATAGTCTTGACTAGGATCAAAATCAGCAGTATGAAGAACAAGAAACCCTTCCATAAATTTGTAAATCATGGACCAATAATAGAAAAACTTCTGATCAAGCATCCCCTGCTTCTCAAACCAAGGAGATTAGAAGAAAAAAATATCAAAGAAGAAGCTACTTCGATAAAAAGGAACAGGGGTGCACCCATTTTTTTCCCAGTAATACCGAATTCTATCCAAATTAACAAGCTGACCAAAATGGCCCTAAATAAGTAACCACCATTTTCGAAAGCAGTACAATCCAGAATAGATAAGCAAAAATAAAATTGAAATATTGTTGTAACCTACTGACCTTAAAAGAACCCAGGCAACAACAAGAAATAACTTATAATCTTCCATATACCAAAAATGCCCATGAACGATATACACTAGCACCTTCAACCACCAACCAAGGACGCCAAACACACCAGGAGCTGAACCCAAGAACCCCAAGAACCTTAAGCTAATTACGTGAGATATTTGACATGGGGAGTTCAATTTATTTATTAATCACCCACCAAAAATAGATAGGGATCAATTTTGAAAAAGATATAAGATCAAAGAAATGGAGACGTCGCCATGGAGGGTAACAGTTTGAGAGAGAGAGAGAGAGAGAGAGAGAGATGTTGCCATGAAAACTCTATTGACTAAAACAACTAATATCTAATTTTTATCATGAGAAAACTAGTAAGCTTCGGGATTTTTCAGAAATTATGGAGGAGTGAGGATAGGAGAACGAAAACATTAGGAAGAGAGAAAAAACAAAACATACCTTAGTCGAACTAGGGCGTGTAAATTTGAGCAACCGTCATAGTCTCTAACGAGGTCAGGTACCAGGGTCTCCGACGAGGAGAAGTGAGCACGAGGTCACTGAAGGAGAGGTGACCAAAGAGGTTGTCGAATTAACGACGCGAGGCGAGGTGAATCTTCTATTGTTGCTACATCCGACCTATGAATGCTTTGACGTCTTCCCTTAATAGCTGGTGTGTGATGAGTCGAATAGAGTTCTTGTATGCCAAAACCCTAAATGGATGTGAGATTGAAGAAGAAAAGCATACGTGAGGGAAGTGTTTTTGAAACTCTTGATGAAAATCACGATCATATGTAAGTGGGAAATAAAAGCCCTAGTTGTTGGTCGCCATTTTGTGATCTTTAGGAATGAACGCGAGTTTTTAAGAAAAAAATTATAGAACGATTATATGAGTTTTCGAGGTTTATAGCAGAGATGGTATCTTATTAGGGTTTGCAGAGAGAAAGGAAGAAGAGAACGATGGGAGATCTTGAAGCGGGGTATCTAAAAATTTTAGAATTTTAAAAGGATTTCATTTCCCCCTTTTAAAACGCGCGTTTTGAGTAAAAATCATAAAGCGACGTTCATAGAGGACGCACATTTTAGATAAAGTGCCCTCCGTGTTTTTAGTTTTTTTACATGAGACACTAATTTAAGGGCACGCAATAATGCGTGACCTAAATCCTTAAATTTTTTGAAGAGATGACACTTTTTTAATGTCACTCTCTTTTGTGTAACATAACTCAATGAGTGTCGTAGTTTGCGCGTCGTAAAAGGGTCTTTTTTCTTGTAGTGCCAAATTCAACCTCATATGGACTGAACTTGTTCATTCTTAATTTCTTGCCACCTGGTAGTACAAGGGCCTACCATTGCTTCCAGGTTGTTATGCAACCAATTTGAGAACTCTCAAAACTCATATGGAAAGCCAACTTTAACTGGAATGGGCACAAAACTAGAATATGTCAACACGATAGGCTATAAACCTCAAGTCGTGTGCTAGTGATAAACTACAGGTTTTTATTCTTGATTAGTTCTTGAACCTTTTCAAGATCTTTAAGACTCCCACTGTCCTCTTGACATATAAGATTCTCTTGCCAAGAACCATTCCTTGACAAACAAATAATCAAGTGATAGTGCGGATACTTATCAAGACAAACACTTCACACAGTTGGCCTTAGTTGCTCTTTGTTTTGTTCAAAACATCACAACTTACCAATTTCAAATGTACAAGAGTAGAAAACATTTTACTCTACATTTGACAAGTGTTATAAACCTTCTTTTAGATATGTCACTCAAGTTACAATCTTGGAGTATGACTCTAAGAATTGTTTTGGAACGAAGTATGACTCAGCTTCTTGATTTAACCATTTCAACAATTCATGATTCCTCTTCTTAGCCATATGAATGTACTAAGATGTCCTTAAAGGATCAATTGTGATATGGTTTCTTAATCATTAAGATGATCATAAAACATGATACTAAAGTACTCTCTCATCTTTTCAGATTTGAGAAACTTTTATCTGTGTACCTAATTTGATTCTTCTCATTCGTTCTGCCACACATTGAAACTTTTCCAATGTTTCAGAATTACATTTAAACTTGTAAGTATAACCATATTTACTAAACTTTAGTAAATCATGACGAATAGTCTTATCGATCTTTTGTGGTGGACTTGACCAGTGCACAAGAATGTGTACTCAATCCCTTAGTCCTTCACTTGACTCACATATACATGTGAACAAGGAATTAGTCTTAATTTTGCAAAGATGAAAATTCTCATTCATCATACAATACAACTTGCATGATTCCAAGTTTCTGTCCAATTGAAAATTGGGTGACGAGAATATTTCCTTATTTGGTAAATTTAGACACTACCACAAAAGAAAAAATCAAATTCATATTTCCAATATTGCTAGAAACATACAAACATCAATTTTTCATAAATGCCATTGCAAGGAGATATAATAAAATAAAACAAAATTTTATTTATTTATAAAATGCGGAAAAAACTTTTTCCTTAAAATGCAAATTTAAATGAAAACTATGCTATTACATATTTCCTAGCAATCTATCATAACTCCTAAGCAACAGCTCAAAAATCCGATCTTCGAACCATGCGATTGAAATCCATCTTAACGATCAGATTCAACATACTCTTCCTTTAAGTTTCCTTCCCTTTGCTTGATCCTGCCAAACATCAAAATGCAACCTAGTCACATCATGTATTAAGAATCAACAATTAGAAACTTAACAGAGTTAGATAGTGTACTTACCTGAAGCAGAGTCAAACTTTTTGATTCTTCCTTCTCTCAGATCTTTCAGGTAGTCAGGGCAGCTTCGCAACCAATGACCCTTCTCTTTACAATATAAACATATAGACTCTTTAGGAATGGTACACGGGACGATCACAGACTTAGCTTTTCCCTTTACCTTTTGGTCAACCGGGTTGACTAAAGTCGATCCCTTTCCATTAGGAGGAGAAATCTTTTCCGGACTTCCAATGTTACCATTGTCAATGTCCGTGGAAGTTTGAGAAGTAGATCTTCCACCTAATTTTACTTTTCCAGTGCGCCAAAACATTTCTGATTCAGCAGCAACAAGCAAATAATTAAGATCAATAAGGGTCATGTCGTGGTCTGTCACATAGTAGTTCTTAATGAACTCACTATATGACTTAGGAAGTGATTGAAGAACCCAGTCAACAGCCAACTTCCTTGACACTTCGACACCCAACATCATGTTTCATTGCTTTGTGACTTCAGCTCTAAGACGTGAGAACACACAGGCCTTCCATCTTCATGTTTCCTTGCAAGTAGGTCTTGAGTGACGTTGAATTTTCAAGTCTTTGAGCTTGTGGGTCAGGGAGAATAATTGGAGGAGGTGGAGGAAGAGAAGTATGATTTCCATGATCCAATCATGGGACATCATCTTTATTAGAAAAGCTTGTTCCAATAGATTTGGGAAGATCATAGTTGTCTGATCTAGACATCTACAATGGGAGAAATTCAAGTTAGTTGATTTAAGTCCTTAATACAACACCCAATATGAAATATTAAGGCTAGGACCCAACACATTATTTTATAACTTGGAAGAGGGATGTCGTAATCCAAGCTGTAAAATATTTGAAGGTAGGCGAATGAAGATTCACCAGTTTCCACCATGAAAAACGAAATGGGAATTAGGTTTTAATTGGATTGAAACTCCTAGATCTTTTGAGATTCATTGAACTTTTCAATGGCATGTTTAAATCTCGATTGTGCCCTCTCAAGTTTGTGACTGGGATGCCGAGGATCACAAACAAGGTGTGAATAACCATGCAAATTAACATGATACCCTTAATTTTATCACCTAATCAATGTGTCGGTTACCCACACGCGCTCCACCGATCTATGATAAACATTAAGTCACCCTTTGCCACTCTTACTAGTCCATGTTAGTGTGTCGATTACCCACACACACTCCACCAACGGCTTGGTAAGGTACAAAGTGCAATTTCATGGGTTAGCACCAAATTCACATTTTCCTAAGTAACTAAGATTAGGAATTTATAAGTGTTTAGTTACTTAGTATTTATCATTATACTTTTAATGAAGGGAGAATTATAGTCTTGTCAAACCCGTTCGGCTAACGACCCTCCACCAGTCAAGGAAGCGGTGGGTGAGAGTAGACACCCATTAAACTAACATTTTATAGGCAGTAACCTTATACCCCCTTATAGACCGGCTTCGTGAATGAGGCCTACTAACGGTAAGACTGACTTTGTTCTTATACATATATATATATATATATATATATATATATATATATATATATATATATATATATATATATATATATATATATATTATTAACTTATAATACTATAAAGTATAAGGGCTGAATTTTAACTTTTAAAACTCTAAGGTTTGGAACTAAAGTTTTCTAAAGTGACTTTACAAATTCCTAAACTTGAGGGCAAGTTTTTAAACTATTCAAGACTTTTCAACTTCATAACTTATGAGTTTAATGGTCTATTAAAATGAAGACTCTTCATTTTATATAACCTATGGTTCTTTAATGACTCTTTAAAGAAATGACCTTTGGTAATCCATAACTGGAGGACAAATTATGGACTGCATCAATAACATTTAGATCAAGAATTACATCATCAAACAATTTGCAAATAATTCCTATGATCTTACTAAAACTCATAAGCATGAACATTCATATCAACAATTTCAAGAATCATATAAACATATATAAAACTTGAAAATTTTGATAATAACCATTGAAAATGGATAAGCATAATCATTAC